ATTCAGTTGGTTCCCACACCAGTGGAGGAGGGGTGGGGGTGGCTCACTGGATTTCCTGAAGGTGTCTGGGTTTAAGATCATCTTCCGCAAGGATTGGAGGGCTCACAGATCATGGTCACTGAGGCTTCAGACACTGCCCAGGACCCAACCAGTTCCCGTGCTGCTTGGGTAGGGATGAGGGTGCAGTCACCAAGGCCAGTGATGCTGTCTGGTGTTCATCTCAGCTCCCACAGGGGTCTGGGTGGTGTGGGGAGTCTCTGTGTTTGTTTTAAAAGCACAAATATATTCTGATATTTCCTATAATAATCCAAAACCTTAGTCTTCCTTTGTGTTGAATTCTCTTTTGTATAATGAAGGTCTAGGCTCCCAGTAATGCCAATATTCTTTCCTATTTGCTCAGCCTCTCAATGTGCGGTTTACCTCTGCCTGTGGTTCTGTCTGTGGTTCTGGCCAGCCTGGCTGTGACCGAACACATATCCCTCATGCCCTGTTCTGGAGAGCACACTGCTGAGTCCCCAGCAGCCCCCATCCCCAAATGGGTGAGGACCCCAGTGAGGCAGCAGATGACTTCTTGGAAGACTATAAGGCCAGAAAAAATATTGGTGGTGGTTTCTTGAACAGAACCCCGAAAACATCACCCACAAAGGAAGCCATCAATAAACTGGACCAGGTTAAAATTGAATACCACCTCCAAAAGCATATTACATGAGGGAGGAAGCCTGATATTCGAGAAAAGTGCCTTTGAGCGCACAAACTGATAAAGGGCCGAGCACCACAGTATATGAAACATTCCTGCAAATAGATAAGAAAAAAATGTGACAGTCCAAAAGAAAAATTGAGGCGGTTATACAATATGCTTTGCCCAAGTGATGAAACTATTAAGATGCAAAGTTGGGGCAGAAGCCTGGGTTTGTCTGCTCACCAAGCCACAGCACGCATGCAACCTGATATCATCGGCAGTGTAGCTGAGTGCCTTTCCCCTCCCCCCAGCCTGGTTTCCTGTGGCTCCCGAGCTTCTGGTCCCCTTCCTTCTCCATGGAGCAGGTTCACGAGGTGCAAGTATCATGGTGCAGACCCTTCTTGGGGAGTTGACGGTGTAGGTGGAGGAACTTGTGTCCTACTTTAATAATTGACTCCATTAAAGTCCCCATGAGGCCTCTCCAGGGATTTTGACTGTATGGTTGACAATAAAGCTGATTTTATACCCAATAACAATGGCGCAAAATTTCCACATGGAGAATAAAATTTTGTAATACAGTGTAACTGAACCACCTTAGACCATTCTTTCCTAACACCGTGGGGTGTTGCCTACATTGTGAGTCTGTTTAAAAGGAGCTCTGGGTGTGGAGGAATGTGGGCCTAGTGCAGCGGTCCTTCATCCTAATGCACCTGAGCATTAGCAGGAGGCTGACTTAGACACCATTTGCTGCACAGCCTGCCCCCAGGGTTCCTGGTTAGCAGGTCTAGGGTAGGGCAGACCCTAAGAGTTTGCAATCCTCACATGGTAAAGTGATGCCCACCTGTTGGTCCCAGGACCACTCTTTATGACCTGGTGGCCTGAATATTGTAAGTGACCACTAGAGGGACAGCAAGGGTCACACTGAAGGCTGGGTGTCAACTCTGAACACCTTTACATTTGCATCATTACTGACAGTACTATTCAAAGTCCAGACTACTTCTAGGAAGCAGCTGTGAGTTCTAAATTTGTGTGCATTTTGTCCTTCAGGACTTCTTATGCATTAGATGAGATACTATGAGGGAAATTTCATTATTGGCATCTTGCACAGATACACAAACTCCCACGAGCACAGGTGCACATGCATGCACCCGAGACACAGACTTGTTGGCTATCAGGCAAAGTCACTAATGATTACAACACCACATCAAGGTTGCTGACATACAAATTTAACACACTTTATGTGAATCTCAATCCATTTACACCCAGATACAAACAAATATGCAGATGGAGAGTTATATGTACTTCCAGAAAAAATATAGCTGTAAACACACACACACACACACACACACACACACACACACACACACACAGGAATTTCTGTGAGTCTCAGGGAGGAAGTTTATCAGTGTTGGCTACATGAGTAAATAGAAGCTTGCGGCCACACACGGGGCTCCTAACTCCGTGTTAAAGAGCCTGGCACAGTTCCTGAAATAAGAAACGGTGATTTAGGCTTAGATATCGAGGCATGTGACTGCCAGTGTGCACCTTTTCTGCCACAGATTGCCTGGCGAGCCTCGTAGACTTTACTTTTCTGGATGAGAAAAATGCTGAAGCAAGGGAGAAACCTCAAGTACCAAGACTGCAGGAAGGAAAAATGTCCTGTTCAGGCCCAGATGCAAACATTTTCTCTAGCTTTAGGTAGATCCACATATTTTCAAAGTCCTGGGAAGATAGGAACCTATGCAACAAAACCACATCTTTGTTCCTTTTAGAAAAAGGACTTAAAAAGGTCGTAGTGTGAATCTATTAATCATCTTCCACTTCAATAAGTACCAGTTCCACTTTATTTAACTTAGTGGAAACAAAGTGAAACCAGATGGTTTGGAAAGCAGCTTCCAGTTTTGCAGCCTCCAGCTGCTTGATTATTGACCTCAAGCAAGGCACAGTGTTGTTACAATTAATTTCTTTCTGCTTAAAATTGGAAGTTAAGGTTACTGTTGTAGTAAGGGAAAAGATTTAATACAGGACACATCATTTACAGGATTATTTTATAATATTCACCCAAAGAGTCAAATGCAGAACAATGCATAAGATCTGTCCACACACTAGAGACCCAAAGAATCTAGCTGAAGGCCTGGATCCCCTGGCAATGCCCTGCAAGAGTCCAGCTGAGGACCTGGACCCCATGACAATGTCTCACACAAGTCTGTTTCAAGGTTCTGCACTGGGAAGGCCCAAAGGTCAGTGGTGGAAGCTAGAAAGTCTGTGCCAGTAGGATGAAGGATCTGTGCCCGCAGGCTGAGAGATCTGCATTGGAGCCAAGAAGCAATGTTCAAGGTAAGGACCAGAGCCACACTTTCAGGATTTTAATTGTGAATTTGGGACCCAATGAAGAATTGGACATACTTCAGTTTTTACATAAAACCCAGGGATCAATTCTCTCCTCCAGAAAACCTGGGCCCCTTCCTGCCTGTTTGGGAATTTTCCATGCCTGCTCCCCGAGGAGTTCTGTTTTTGCTTGGGGCCCCAGAGCAAGTCTCTAACCAAGAGCACAGTTCCCTGGGGTCCCTGCTTCTGCTCTGTAAACAAACAATGCCAATGCTCCACGGGCCAGCCTATTCCAATTTCTACAGGGACAGGGTGCTAAGGTGTCACCTTAGCCAGGGAGTGTGGACTGGTTAATGACACCATCTGTATTCTCCAAGCTGTTGGACCCAGATCATGTCCCTCCCTCTCTGGGGCAGCCTGCTGCCTCATCAGCCCCGAGCACCTGCTTGTACGGTTGTGGAACCAATGTGCCAGCCTGAGAGGTGGTGCTGAGCTGCATCGGCTGCTCAGCCAATGGCTGGCCCCTCCAGCCATCCCTCCTGCGCTCAGTCACTCCTCTTCCTCAGTCTGCTACTTAACACTTTGATGGGGTCAGAATTTACTTCTATCCTCACTCTTTCCTCAGAATTTTCATTGAATTTTCCTTTGGACACTAAGGGATCAGAATTGACTGCCTTATCCTTGAGAGAACTCCTGGTTGATTCCTGGAATTGAAGACCAGAAGGCTGGTGGAATTGTGAGTCTTCTACTTTCTTGGAAGAACAAGGGTCAGGATTTTGACATGGGCTTTGTTACAGTAGTGAGTCTTCTATCTGGGTCTAGGGTCCCCACTATGTGGATACATAATTACCTTTGTGGTGGTTTCTAGTAGGGTTCGTACTTAGTAGAGCCTCAGAGGAAGGAGTTTCCCAACACCAACCTGTGGTCTGGAGCCCCACTTTGGAGGAGCGCCCCTGCACTCCCTTCTGGAGTACCTCAATGCCCCACACTCAGCAGAGGGAGTCTAATGTAGCTCAGAAGTGAGTTCACTCTTCCTGTTCTGAGCTTGGCCAAAGCACTGTATCCCCTGGGTCTGGATCTGCACATGATCCGTGACTTCTTTCAACCTCTTAAAGGAAAAGATAGCTTCTTATGGTTAATAAAAGATAGTTATTTATGTTGTTGTTCTGAGACCTTTTGCTTCAGCCTGGTGACCAGTGAGGCGCTGTAAAGTGTCTCTGGTGATTCTGTGAGTAAGTACAACCTTCTCTGAAGCTGGTCAGAAAGGTGCAGTTCAAATGATGCACCTCCCACAAGCACAGGGCTAAGAGAGACCGGGATGCAGCCAGAGAGACTCCAGCAGGAGAGGACGGTATGCAGGTGGTGCTGGAAGGTGCACGGCTTTGATGTGAGGCTGACATTGTTCTTCTGACTTCTCTGTCAGGCGGCTCAGCTCTGTCAGGAAGACGCTGGGGCTTGGCCTGTAACTGTAGGTGGGAAAGCCCTGAAGTGGGCTGAAGGTACAGTAAATATGAAAGGAGGTGCTGTACACCCCCAGAGTGAATAGAGGCAAAGCCGGCTCCACCACTGCTGCTGTCGAGTTCCAGCCAGGAGGTACATGGTTCTCCCCCATGAGCTGGTCTCATTCGGGCTTCACCTCGGGTGAGAAAATCAGGCCCAGTGCTACTAATTCAATTGCATAGATTTCAGACAAACTGTGCAAAATAGTTACACATTTATAGTCTTGTGCTAAGCTATTCAAGGTATTTGAACATTTCCAATGGCTGTGTCCTTTGAAATTTCAAGATTTTCAACTAAAGACATGAGCTAAAAAAGACAAGAAAACGAGGTTATTCACTGAGAGTTGGATGCCTGACAGGCATAATAGGAGAGCTGCTGGGTCCTGGGCATGAGGGTAAGCAGTCAGAACAGCTTGGCTTCAAATATTAAAGCACTGAGAAAAAACATTCCTTTTGAGGTAAATCTGCAGTTTTTGCCAAGATGTCAGGCTCACGCGAAGGCCATTGCCGAACCATTTGTGCAGCTCTCTTGCCCATGCTTGGGTCTCTTGGACTTAGGTGAAAACTTGGGGTGACTGTGAATGTGCAAGTATGAGGCAGTCTTCACAAGCCACACTTGCAGACGTGTGCGTGCACCAAGGCCGTGCTTGTGACCCTGGGGCAGCCTGTGGAGGCACCTGTTCCTTGACACTGGGCTGGCTGCCTCTATGGCTCCCCGTGCCCTTTCGCTCCTGCATGGCACCTGCCTGAGGGTCCCGGCCTGGACCAGGGCACTGAACCTTGTAGAATGTCCAGGGCAGTTCGGGGGGCTGGAGTCCTCTGTGTCTCCTCCAGCATTGCCGGATGGCAGTGGCAGTCACACGGAGAGGCATGCTCTTCACACGTGTCTGTACTCTCGTTCCCACTGCCTCCATCTTGTGGACGCCCAGGGTCATTTGCAGCTACCTTGGTGGGTGCGATCCTGAGCGCTCGGAGACAGAGACCCCATCAGAGCCTGGGCTTAGACTGTTGCCGCCAGGAGTGCTGCAGGTGACCAGAGTTTGGACCACTGTCACCAGTCAGGTGGGCCTGTGAAGGTCTGGCTGAGGGCTCAGCAGATCTATGCGCCTTTCCTCTTGCACAGGGAAAGCCACCCTACAGAGAAGCTGGATGCAGGCCGGGTCTCCAGACCTGTCTCCTGCGGAGCCAGAATCAAGTCCGGCACTTCAGCTCTTTCATGTAGGGTCTGAAATTTCCCGTGTTCCATTTACACACCATTGAGGAGTCATCTGAGTGGGTGTTCAGGGATTCTCCGAGCGCTGTCCATGGGTTCAGTCCTTTCTGCCTCCGCGCACACCACCTTCTTTTCTGGAAACACTTTGTTTAAGCTGCCAAGTGTGACATTCCTGTGATGTGGAACAAAAGAAACACCTCTCAGGGTAGGGGTCTCCTGTCAGACAGACTCTTCCACAAGGGCCAGTCAAGGGGAGAGGTTTGCACAGCAATCACTCAATAAATCTTTTAACTGAGTTTGGCTCTCTCCTGTCCTTTGGTCATTATTCACTAAACAGGGAAGCTCCAGGCTCAATTTCTCTTCTGTCCTTTAGGAATCAGGCACACCTCTCTGCAGAAATCTATGCCTGTGTGCTAGGAAAGCAAGAAAGGACCAATGACCCCCTCGACTTCAGTCCCATACAGGCTAACTGGGTGTGCTCGGTGCAGTATTCACAAGCCGTCTCGTTCAGTTCTTTGTTGTTTGTCTGTAGCAGATGCTGACGGTTATGGCAAAGGACAATGACAGCCACTTCCAGCCATTCATCCTGGTGGGCTTCTCTGATCGGCCTCAGCTGGAGCAAGCCCTCTTTGCTTTCGTCTTGGTCTTCTACATGCTGGCCCTGGTGGGCAACACGGCCATCATCCTCCTGTCAGTGTTGGATGCCAGGCTCCACACACCCATGTACTTCTTTCTGGGGAACCTGTCTTTCTTGGACCTCTGCTTTACCACGAGTATTGTCCCCCAGCTGCTGTGGAATCTTTGGAGTCCAGGTAAGACCATCACCTACCATGGCTGTGCGGCCCAGCTGTACATCTACATGGTGCTGGGCTCCACTGAGTGTGTGCTCCTGGCTGTCATGTCCTACGACCGCTACGTGGCCGTCTGCCGGCCCTTGCACTACATGGTGGTCATGCACCCCCGCCTCTGCCTGCAGCTGGTCAGCGTGGCCTGGTGCTGTGGCTTTCTGAACTCTTTCATCATGTGTCCTCAGACCATGCAGCTGGCCTGGTGTGGGCGGCGCCGGGTGGGCCACTTTCTCTGTGAGATGCCTGCCCTTATTGCCATGTCCTGTGAGGACACCATGCTGGTAGAAGCCTTCGCCTTTGCTCTGGGGGTTGCCCTCCTGCTGGTGCCCCTCTCTCTGATCCTTGCCTCCTACGGCAGGATCGCAGCTGCTGTGCTGAGGATCCAGTCAGCTGCAGGGCGCACGAAGGCCTTCAGCACCTGCTCGTCCCACCTGACGGTGGTGTTGCTCTTCTACGGCACCATCATCTACATGTACCTGCAGCCAGCCAACACCTACTCCCAAGACCAGGGCAAGTTCCTCACCCTCTTCTACACCGTCGTCACGCCCAGTGTCAACCCCCTCATCTACACTCTGCGGAACCAGGATGTCAAGCGGGCAGTGAGGAAGCTCCTGGCCGGCAGGAAGGGGCCGGGGAAGCCCAGGGAGGGGGCCCTTGAGTAGCCAGGCTGGGCGTGGTACCCCTTATCCACAACCCGTGGGCCAGAAATGCTTTGCATTCCGGAATTTCTTCTGGATTTTGAGATATTTGCTTACGTGTAACGCCATGTCTTAGGGAGGGGCCCCACGTCTAAACATGGAATTTCTTTGCATGTCATCTGCACCTTACACACAGCCTGGAAGTGATTTGATGCGGTATTGTTAGCGCACCTGTGCTCTAGCTGGCACCACCTCGTGAGGTCAGGGGTAGAATGTCAGGAGGTGCTCAGGTTCTGGGCACTGGAGCATTTTGGATTCAGATCAGGAGTGCTCAGCCTGGCTGGCAACTTGCTGGGGCTTCTGTCTTAGTGCATCTGTAACCATGGGGGATGAGTGTTCAAGGACAACATATGGTCAGGGGCTGAAATAACGTGCCGCGCTAAGATCTCAGCGTAGCCACTGTGGTGGGCTATGAAGACGGCCTGCTCGGCACAAGTAAGTTTTTGATCTAATTTAATGTTATAGAGGAAGCCCTGGTTCTGGAGCAACCAAAAACAGGAGTTACCTCTGAATCACCCACATCCCCTTTTTTATTAAACAGCGGTAGTGATATTGCAAAGGTGTTTTGGCAGCTGCCCACGTGGCAGGTGCTATGCACTTCTCTGAGTTACCGAGAGGCGTAGGAGTGTACTCTGCCAAGGGGCCCTTGTCCTAGGAGCAGCCACTCAGGCCCGGTGTGAAGGCAGCCCTGACGGGGAGGGCGTCGCTGGCTTGTGGGATGCTGCGCATGGGTTGGCTCCAAGGAACCACTGCTCTACTGAAGCTGCAATTGTGTCCAGACTTGAGTGGTCCAGGAGGCAGTGACAAGCCCTCGGGCAGGGCAGGGCAGAGGAGAACGGGCACTGGATGTCCTCTGTCAAAAGGCAGAGCAACCCTCCTATTTCCAGCAGCAGGGCTATTAATGGAGCCCCAGGTGGCTGCATTTCAGTTTCCATGACAGACTGTTCACAAAGACGGAAACACTTGTTTTTGAAATTACTCGTATTAAACAAAAATTATGGGAGGGATTCAGGCTTATCCAAGAACTCTTAAGACCCATAATAATATGAAACTTTTGGAGTTCTTAAATTTGGGTATTGCCAACTATAGATCTCAAAATTTTCCTGTTAATCTCTTCACTGTAGGTGCTCACTGAAACCTCCATCCCTGAACTCGTTCCTTGGGAAGGAAGACGGGGTGCCCACTGTCAAAGGAAAGGGGTGCTACAAAGCCTCTGCTTTGGGACTGCCAGGAACTCGAAACCCTTCACCCTGTGTGTCAGAAAGAGGACAAGCAGGTCAGGAAAGCTGGGGCAGGGAAGGAAAAGGTGGGGCAGGGCTGGAGCTCAGTTAACCTCTCCTGTGGGGCAGGCGCCCAGCCTGTGCTAGAGCTGCAGGGTCAAAACTAACCACTCGATCTTGGGCAGTGCTGTCACATCGCCCCGTACCTCACACAATACAGGATCTCAGCTGAGTTACCCACACGTCTGTCTACGAGTAAATTCATTCTGGTTTCTTAATCTCCATCTAAAGCCACAGGTGTCCAAACTGTTGGCCATGTGGAGTGGAGAGGAATTATCTCCGGCTGCATATGAAATGTGTGATGCAGTTAATGTAAGCAACACAATTTCCCTTTTTGTAGTTTAACTCATTAAAATATTTTACAAAGTAGAACAAATCCCAGTTTAATAATTAACTAAGAAAACTTGCCTATCTAGTAACAATAAAAAATTGTCTTCACAGGTGTACATGGAGAGGTGGGCTGAAATACTATTTGTATGCTTCTTTTTATTGGCTCATGTCTGCGGGACATAAGGATCACACTCCTCAGGGGGGCTGGTGCATGGACACAATGCATCCTGATTCTTTCTGTGTCCTGTGTCCTCCCTCCCAGCACCCGCATAACCTGTGCCTTCCCTTTTGCAGAGATCTCTCGCTCTGTGTCCCATCCTCTCCTCTTGCTGAAGTGCTTGGCATGGTGATGGGTGTGTACTGATCTTTACAAGATATGTTGATTTTGCTGTGAATAAAATATGGAAAATAGGCTCAGGCCTTATTATTGCCAAAATTCTATAATGATACCTCAATAGTTATTACAAATATTAACATGCAACTATTTATTACATTAAGGTACATATTAATTTATAACTACTAGTTACTCATTAATTTATTACGAATATTAAAGAATACTCATTCACATATTTGGACATTTGCATTTCATTTTTCTTTTTTCTTCAGTGAGCACATTTTCTGTGCTAGGACCCTGCGATGGGAATTAACTGTAGGAAATCCGCAGCAATCTGGCGCTGACAACGTGCCGTCATAACTTGACCTTAAATTGAGCTTGGCCGTTTGCACTCCCTGTAGAAGGAGGCGTCTGTGTGGGGCCTTGCACGCGGAGTGAGGCAGGGAGTGGAAGAGCGGGGAGGAGGCAGTGAAATAAAGAGCAAAAGGAACGCGCGGGCAGGGAGGAGACAGGTCTGAGTCGTAGGTGGGGCGCTGGTTACAGCGTTCTTTGGAGCGCGCGGTGAAGAGGGGCGCGCGCGAGGCCACCCCACCCCGGGCTGCCGCCAAGCCTCAGAGCTCGGGTTTGCTTTACAGAGACAACGTGAGCGCAGCAGCAGGACGTGTTAGGCAGACTGTGCGGTGCAACCTAGAGTGGGCCTTAGGAAAAGGAGCAGCAGGCCCTTCAGTAAGCCGGGAAGCAGCATGAGAGTGTGCAGGGCGAAGACCGGGCTTGGGTTGGATGCCTGGGACCAGGACAGCGG